GATGGAACACCTCTCCTATGAGGAAAGGCTAAGGGAATTGGGATTGTTCAGTCTGGAAAAGAGAAGGCTTCAGGGGTGACCTAATTGAGGCTTTCCAGTGCCTGAAGGGGCTCCAAGAGAGCTGCAGAGGGACTTGGGACAAGGGCCTGGAGGGACAGGACACAGGGAATGACTTCCCACTGCCAGAGAGCAGGGACAGATGGGATATTGGGAAGGAATTCCTCCCTGTGAGGGTGCTGAGGCACTGGCAGAGGTTGCCCAGAGCAGCTGTGGCTGCTCCATCCCTGGGAGTGTTCCAGGCCAGGTTGGATGGGGCTTGGAGCAATGTGGGCTGGTGGGAGGGGTCCCTGCCCATGGCAGGGAGGGGGATGAGATGGTATTTAAGGTCCTTCCAACCCAAACCATTGTGTGCTTGAAATACACATACATATATGTGTGTGTACATATATATATATGCCTTAATACAAAGGGAGGGCTGAAATCAATGTTTCCAAACACTATGCTGCAGTACAACCCATATGTGTGTTTTAAAGTATGTGACAGTATCTTAGTGATTTGTCTCTGACCAGAACTGGAGTCCATGGAGTAAACCCCAGTTCTGCAGTGGTCGGGGCTGGTGTGTATCAGCCTCAGTGCAGAGTCAGGATCTTAAAAGCAAAACAAAATGAGTACTTTGAGTACTTGTTAGGTAGGAACACCAACACAGAAGTGTGCCAAAAAACTCCTGACATGTACTCTAAGATATCACAGAACTCCTTTGGTTGAAGCCTAAAAAGCAGAGCAAAGCAAATCGTTGTGCCTCCAGGAAATGACTTTGTTTCCGTATGCTCCTTCATAAGATGAGTGATAATTCCTAATTCCAACTTTTTGTTATTTCCTGAAAATAATTATGGGCAAGGTATTGTGTATTGTTTGTAATTGAGAGGAGAATGTTGCTCCTTTTCCTATTAAACTGCAGTGATTAGACAACACTTGGACATGACAATAACAATTAGAGCCCCATTGTTTGAAGGACCACATAAAGAAAGGAGAATCTCTGCCCTGACGGATTTGTGGGGAGGGTCAGATTATTACTACGCTACTTCCACAAAGAGGAACAGGAGCACAAGGTTCCCAACTCAGAAGTCCTGCAAACAAGCTGCAAAGGAGGCTGCATGGTCTTGAGTTCCAGGAGCAGGACACAGCCCTCCTTTGAGTCCAGGGTGTGGGTGAGACCCAGGGAGAGGGGTCTGGGGAGTCAGCCCAAGACATTCACCGCCAGGAAGGTGCAGATTTGCACTTCACCTCTTCACCCTGGCCAAGGAGTGGTAGAAATGCTGCTATCTCTCACCTACAGCAGCTCTGATAGTCCTTCTTTCCAGAGCATCCAGAAATGCATATTATCACAGGCTGGATTGAGTTGGAAGGAACCTTAAAGATCATTTACTTTCAACCACACCATGGGCAGGGACACCTTCCACTTGAAGGGAATTGGATCCCTTCTCCACACCAAGCAGCACTGCCAGCTCTGCCTGAACCCCAGTCCAGCTATGGAACAGTTAACCTCCCCCAGCTGTGAGCTAATTACTCCAGGATATTACAAAATACTGTGGTTTCTCAAGTTCTAGACTCTTGTTTTTTAAACTTGAGGCAAGTGTGAAAAATACAGGCCAGTAGCAAGGGTTTTAGTGAAAAGCAAGTGCTTTAGTGGCAGGTTAATGGTTGGACTTGATGATCTTGGAGGTCTCCTCCAACCTTCATGAGTCCATGATACTAAAGTATTACCAAAAGTGTAATAGTTGGCACTGAGTTGAGGGGGAAAGGAGGAGAAAGATGGGAAGTTCACTCTGCCAGAAAACAAACCTTAAGCTTTCAGCAGTGGGAGAGAAGTCAAACATCTAAAAGCATTTAAAACCAGTCACATACCTTCATATATAGCTATGATTTCACGACTAATTAAATCTATCAATGTAATGAAATTTCAGACATTGGGCTGACCACATAAAAGTTATTTAGTGTCTGAATGATTACATACAGTTAATACACTGCACTATTAAACTGCCAGACCATTTGCCTTTTGCAAGAGGATTTCTGCCTCTGGCAGAGCTCAGAGCAAACGACATTCATGTAGAGAACAGTCCACAATCCTATTGCTCCCAGCTCTGCAGCTCTGCCCAAGCCAAGACACACAATAGATGAGCAATAAAAGAAAGGAAAATGCCAGTTCACCAGTACAGAATTCCTAGGGAGATGGGAATCTTCATTAGTGCTTAACTCCTCCTTAAATGCATATGAAATTATTTAAAATACATATTTTTGGCCCAGTGTTTGCCATTTTTTATGCATGGAAGGCAACAGACAAAAGAGATTTCCCTGCCAAGCTTCAAACCCCAAAGCTTAAAAAAACCCCAACAAAACCTAGCAGAACTTCCAATTCTAAAAACCCAAGTTATTTTCCATAGTTTCATCCTACAAAACGGTACAAGAGAAATAATTCCAGAAAATAAAGCTCAGCGTAGGTATTGTCCATAATTATTTTCAGGAAATAAAAGAACTAAAGGCATTAATTATCACTCAAATCATCTTTGGGTTATGAACAGCCAAAGGAGACGTGTAAGGAGGAGCTGTTCAAGGTGGAGTGACCTGCCATGCAGGTAAGGTGCAGCAGGAGTGAGAGTACCTGCAGAGCTTTCAGCACTCACCCAAAGCTGAAATATATAGACACCAAACACAGCAGAATCCAGTTGTTTTAGGAACTGAGTTAAAAAGAGCATCACACTTCAATCAGAGGATTAAATTACCACAGCTACACCCTCAAAATACCACTTTTTACCGAGAAAAAGTTTCAGTCCCAGGGAAACACATTCCAGGTTCACATCACATCATGGCATTTGTTGTTACTCAGTGCATGGTTAATGTGGCTGATCTCAAAGCTAGAAAGGGCACTCAGTGCTCTGTAAGAAGCCATTAGTGCCCTCAGAACCTCTTTTAGAGTCACTCAATTCCATTACTGTACAATGTTTGTCTGCCAAACTTAATCACAGCTGTTTAAATCCAAGATTAGCCAAGGTTAAGTCGTTAATATCACTAACAGACTAAGTTAAAGAAAGAAGACTACAGTATCTTCTTCCTCTTCCCAAAATAGGTGCTGGAATTATGATTACTTGAAAAGCAAAGATGGGTAAAGTTTCTAGATTAATTATTCCTGCAAGCAAAGCTTATTGCATATGTTTTTCTCCTTCATCATACACACAAAGCTCATATCAATGCAAGAAAAGTCAGAATAAAAGTAATAAAAAGAAGCATAATGTGCAGAATTAGATCTCTACCAGAGCCTGAAAGGAGGAGAATATTCCTTTAGTTCAGAGTATGTGAGTGCTCAGCAGCTGTCAGAATTCCTGCCTTCATTTCCCAGTGGATGAGCTCCCACTCAGCCCAGAAATCCACAATCTATAGGCTATACTTCTAGAATTCCACCTGATGGCATATCTCAGCTAAAGATCCTGGGAATGCTTCCTATTTTCCAATGCTTTCTCCAGCCTAGTCCATGCCACCCACAGTGAGGTCACATGGATTCCCCTGCAGTTGTTTTTCCTTTCAAGTTAGCAGTAAAATTCCCATTGACTTCTTACTGCTCACTTGGAACACTTCAAATGGAAATCAAAGCATAAAAACACTGATATAAAACCCCAACATTATGGAGCCAATTACTCAATTTAGCTTTTAGCCTGTTCACTCACAGATTAATGTTTATGAGTTCTTGTGGGTTTTCAACTTCTGGGGCTTTTTTCAAGGTTATATAGCAAAGATGAAAAGAAATCAGGAGATATTTTAAGCTTCTACTGTTCCTCTCTTAGATAAGCAGTGAAAAGCTGCTCGTTTTGCTTTCCTGCCTCTTCAGGGAGTTCAGTAATAAGAGTCAGAGCATCTACATATGGTTAAAGATGGTTTTTCTGCTGTTCTGCACTTACCTCATGCGATAATGGAGCCTGTAGGATGTTTTTTCATCTATCTTAAACACCTGGTTTGGTGCATACCAGAGCCTTTTGTTCTCGTCATACAGTGCAAAGAGGTTATGGCACAGAGGAGACACAGCTGGCAGGGAAAAGGACACAAACCTATGAATCACAAGGCTACAATGCATGTGCACACCCCAAAATACAAATACCTGACCATGCAAAACAAAGCATGAAAAGAAACTGACACTGGGATTAAAGACAAAGGTTAGACAGTCAAGGGTGAAGTGAAACTATAACCTGCACATTTTGCTGTGTATTAAACTCCATTAAAGCTGTGCATCACTTCATTTTGTTGAGTATTAAACAGCTACTGCCAATATTAAACTGGCTCTGGAATACTGATTTAGCCAAAGATTGAGAGGAAATGAGTTAAAATCTTGACTTTTTCCAACCCACAGGAATGGGAGTTTTAACAAACCCACTCAGCAATATCACAACTTTGTTCTCAGGTTTGTTCTATGAATAGATTTTACCCCCATAGTTGAAAGAAGGTTTTAGCAAACAAGCAGAAAGCCTAAGGTGCCATTTTTCCTTTGCTAACTCAGATGGTTTCCACAAAGAACAGACTTTGACTTCTATGTCTAGGCTGACCTGCTTTTACCTTTGCACTACCTCATCCTCGAGCAAAACCAGGCTGTGGTATGTTACAGGTGTGTTGTTTGAATTCCCTGCCCCAGGTTCCTGCAGCACCCACTGTGAAAGGAAATCAAATCTGAGCAGCCTAACATAGAATTTCACAGAGGTGGGGTTGGGCAGCCACTGCCTTCTGCTGGGAACAAGCAGGATGTAGATGCCATCAATGGTTTCACACTCCAGCTGTGGTTTCAGCTGAGAACAGACCTGCTCAAATGGGCAAAACTTCTGCGCTTCACTGCTGTATGAAAGCAAGAGAAGGTAGAAAGAATTCCCTCAAGGAAAGCTCTTTAGATCATTTCTTCAAGGGTTTTAAACTTGCAGCAGAGATCTCTGGGAGCAGCTGCACAGTATGTGAGCTCACATCCCTCCAAACAGCAGCAGCAAACTGCCCCTGAAGGGTGACATGAGTAAGTGGATGTTAAGTACTCCCTTTCATTAAAAGGATTCAAAAACAACACTTATTTGAGTATTTATTTGATGAGGTTGATTCCCACCAGTTCTATCTTTCCAATGGAAGAGAAGCAATTAGGCAAAAGAACTGGAGGGTCCTCAATGTTACAAGAATCAAGTGAGGTCGGAAAACATTTTAAAGCTGCAGGAAAACCCACACTCAGTTCACCTGTTTATACGTTCACATTCACCACTCTGAGTGAGCTGAGTAACAGTGTTCCACAGGGAACACAAAACAGGCATCAGGGCAGGAAAGAACCTTAGAATTGTGAATAGAAAAGCACACTGGTTTATGAGATCAAACACAGATTAAATCCACCATTTCCTGCAGAGTCACAGATATTTTTGACTACTTCGCTGAGTCACAGACCAGAGTGACAACACCATAAACCTGCATTCTCCATTTATGTGTTGGCACAGTTGTGGGCAGTTCTGGCAATCTGAACTCTCTGCAAAGAAGTGTCAAGTTGCAGAAAACTGAAACTGGAAAAGTAGCAAATAGGTTTTGGCTTCTTTAGTTTTAATCAGCTCTGACTAAAATGGTTTACAACATAGGAGAAATCCTGACATGTCAAGTATGTGTATGAGGTAAAACAAGCTTTGTGCTGACTTAATTGTGTATGGTGTCTCTTCTTCTCTTGGAAGCATCCTGATCATCCCCCCCCAAACCAAAAATCAGTGCCTATGTCTGCCAGAAACCAGGGTGGGAGGTCATGAATTTATGTGAGTCTCAAGACAGCCTCTCCCACCATTTCTTCCACTCCAAGCATGAAGCTGTCTCAGGGGACAGAAAAAAGTTCTTCCCCCAGAGGGTGTTTGGGCACTGGAACAGCTCCCCAGGACAGTGGTCACTGCCCCAAGCCTGACAGAGCTCATTTGGTCAATGTTCTCAGGCACAGGGTGGATTGTTGGGGTGTCCTGTGCAGGGCCAAGAGTTGGATTGGATGATCCTTGTGAGTCCTTTCTATTGGACATATTCCATGTGTCCAAGCAGTTTAAGAACAGCCCAAACAGCCCCTTGGCAAAGTTTCCATCCCAGACCACATAACAAGTGTATCTCCTCTACAAACCCTGACTGCCATGCAGAGGATGCATCACTTTCAGTACTGTCAGGCCTTGCCACTGAGAACTGAAAACAAACCCAGCTACTCACAGCACTTCTTGGCAGCTTCGATGCACAGCTCCTCTGAGGTGAACTTGCCACTGCTGTAGTAAATTGGGGCTTTGTCTTGCAGGTAGAAGAGGATTTCTAAACCCTGATGCTGAGCTTCCAGGTTTACTTCACTCTTCTTTGTGCTCCTCATCTTTGCACAGAAAGCCATGGCTTTGCAATCTTCTTTTACATTTAGATACTGAAAGGGAGAGGGAAAATGGACACGGAAAATGTGAGGGAGAGTTTGGATATTTGTCAGGACACAAATCCAGCACTTGATGAGGCTACTGCTTACTACTATGGGTCAGGCACTACATCTCTCACAACCTTCATGTTGGGAACCTGATTATCCAACCCCAAGGAGATGAAAGGTAGAAAAAGAAATGTCAATGGTTATTCTGGTTCTGAGAACTCTGTTCCAAATAATTCCCTAGTCTTCTGCTGGTTCCACAACTTTCTAGAAGGTTTCTCTTCTTCCTGTAAAGCATGAGTAACTTTCACATCCTTAAGCACCTAACTGGCTGAAAAGCAACATTTGTGGTCGAGTAATATAAAAGTATAATTGAGTAATATAAAAGTATAATTTATGTTTCCTTTTTTAAAGAAAAAAAAATCAGCTCCTATTTTTACAATCCCCTTAACAGTTTCACATTTCTGATTGTTTTCTCCCCTCTCACCCTTTGTGTTTTAGACTCCTGATACTGAATGAGTCATAGTGACATAAGCTTCATTGGCAAGTTGTTTTTGATTACTACTTTTCTCTCTCTCCAGAAGGAAGGAGCAGCACTGAGTAGGTTTAATGCAAGAGGTTTCAGACTGCCAAGAATTCACACAAGACAGTTCTGACTCGAAAGAAAATGCATTTTGTGTTCTATACCCAGTGCTTAACTAGAAAGAGCAGAAAGGAAACAGATCACTGGGTTATTTGAGGTCTGTGTTCTATGTTTTACTAACTAACAAGTGTCCAAACCACCAGTTCTATAGTTTATGAAACTAACCCTCCCACAGCAAAACAAACTAACCACCCCAGAGCTGAAAAGCCAACACACCTGCATTTATGGTACTGTTGGATCTTCTATGCAGCTGAAATGGATTGTGCTCACACTCTCCAGGAGCAGCTTGACCCTCACTGGAAGAAAGGGAAAACAAAGATTGTCAGGAATGGTTTTGTACAGCTTGAGGCAAAAATTAAATGGTCAGGCTGAAGAAATGCCACTTGCAATCCAAAGGAATCTTTCCATTATTATAATTGAGATCCAGACCGAGTCTCAGCCAAAGACAGTCACAGCAAAGCATCCACTGGTTTCTTTTGGTTCTCTGGGGGCACTGGCAGAGCTGCAAACAAAAACCAAGAAGAAGGTCTTGGCCATCTATTGGGATTTTTTCATATCTTCATATTTTTCATATTTTCAGCATGGGTCACATGTATTGCAACCCTCAGCTGTGACAACACAGCAACATCCTCCTCTTCACTTTACCTCCTCCATGGCTTTTGAAGTCACTTCATTCTTCACATTTTTATCTTAATATTGCTAATTCTAACTCTTCCCTACTCTCTGCTGTTTATTCCCCTTCCAGATTATCACTGTTCAGCTTGGAGAAGAGAAGGTTGTGTGGAGACCTCAGAGCAATCTGGCAGGATCTGAAGGGGCTCCAGGGAAGCTGCAGAGGGACTCTGTGTTAGGAATTGCAGGGACAGGACAAGGAGCAATGGGGAGAGACTGACAGAGGGAAATTGAGATATCCGGCAGACGTTTTCCCTGTGAGGGTGGTGAGACACTGGCACAGGTTGCCCAGGGAGGCTGTGGCTGCCCCAACCCTGGCAGTGTTCAAAGCCAGGTTGGATGAAGCCTTGAGCAACCTGCTGTGGTGGGAGGTGGTGATCTCTAAGGTCCATTTCAACCCCTTAACATACTACGAATCACTTCAGAAGCAGGTGGGGAAAGCGTGGGCACCTCTCCCTAGCCACAGTCCTGATGGTAGAGCATAGAGCATCAAAAAGAGGTGGCATGGTGGAAAGGGACAGGCGTACATGTCTTTCTAAAGGTGGCCAGGCTGCTCCTCTCCCACTGGCATGGGAATTGGCCAGATAAGGAAAGAGTCTGGACTTCTTGGAAGAGGAGGAGGATGTTGGACTCTGTTCTGTACCTCCACAGGGACTCCAGTGCTCTGGCACTGGGCCTGTGTCACTGTCTCCATGCTCTCAAGGGCAAACCAACCCATTTGCTTCTCCTGGGGAAGTCACTAATTAAGTGTGACAGTGAACTAAATGTGACAAAATGTGTCTAAACTAAGCCTGACAGCACTGCTGGTTTGGGAAACATAACCCATCACTCATCTGAGCCTGAAAGGCTCCTCCATTTCCAGTCTCCATCCCTCCTTTTCTTCCTTCTACCTTACCTCTGCCAAAATAGACTTAAACTAAATGTGTATTGGTTTATCTTCGACACCATGAGGCCTTGATCTGGTATAATATACTTCAACAAATGCTGCTTTAAAAGCCTGAGGCTTAGCCTGAAGAGAGCCTGACACTGCCACACAAGCTTCCCTTGTGCTTAGGAAGTGCCCAAATGTGATAATATGATAGAAAACAAATACCATTTAACAGCACAGACATATTCACAATTAAATTGCATGTTCCTTCCATCCCTGCCACTCAAATGCTGAATCTGAGTTTCCAGACACATTCCCTTGGCAGCAATATGGGGAAGAAGTGATTGAGAACATGATTACTGGAACATGCAAACAGTAAGGATTTCTGCACAGCACCATGAAATTTAAATGCAGAAGGTTAAAGATATTAATTTGAATCTAATTGAAAATACCTCCTTTTAAATGACATCTCTTATAGCTGAAGCTCAATATGTTTTAATGTCTGCGTGGCCATGATATAAAAGAGATTCTCCAGATGTTTTAACATGTTGGGGGGAATAGAAAACCATTGCCTTCTTGCAGATTCATCAATCAAACTTGGTGCTTTTCAACAGAACATTCCTTGGTTTGGTTAATAGCTCCTGCTCTTGGTTTTAATCACAGCAATTCCCAGAATCCTAAAACCCCTTAAGTGCTGCTTCATTTACAACACACCCTGGGGGATGAACCAAACAAACCAACAAATCCAATCTCTATATTTACTAACAAGTTTTCCAGATATTCCCATGCTCAGTGTCAGGAATTCACATCTTAAAAATGTATCTTCGTCTTTCAAAGCCTCCTTTGACCAAGCCAAAATCCTGCTCTGTCTCAGCAACCCTCATCAGTCCTACACAGCAACAGTATGGTATGGCCAGAACAGCATTAGAGCAGCTGCTCCAGACCCTGGTGCCCACAGGCAGCATCCAAGAGGCAGCTGTGACTGTCCCTTGTGAGTGTCCCAGTGCAGGGCTCACCTCAGCCCCATGTCTGTGACTCAGCTTCCCACTGGCTCTCTTGCAGCCTCAGGCATCATACTGCACAGCCCTCGTGCTTCACCCCCTAACTTCGAGGGGGATTTTAATCCTTTGCCACTGAAAAAGTTTCAGAGCCTCATCAGATTGTTATTTGTGTGTCTTTTGCAGATTAACAGTTTCATAGTATGTTAAGGGGTTGGGATGAACCTTAGAGATCATCCAGTCCCAACCCCCAGCCCTGGGCAGGGACACCTCCCACCACACCAAGTTGCTCAAGGCTTTAGCTTTGAACACTACCAGGGTTGGGGCAGCCACAGCCTCCCTGGGCAACCTGTGCCAGTGTCTCACCACCCTCACAGAGAAAACATCTACCTAATACCTCGATTTCCCTCTTTCAATTTCTCCCCATTACTCCTTGTCCTGTCACTGCAGTTCCTAACCAAGAGTCCCCTCTGCAGCTTCCCTGGAGCCCCTTGAGACCCTGGCAGGTTGCTCTGATATCTCCACACAACCTGCTCTTCTCCAGGCTGAACAGCCCCAACTCTCTCAGCCTGTCCTCGTAGGGAAGGTGCTCCAGACACCTGATCAGCTTCCTGGCCTTGCTCCAAGCATTTCATGTCCTTCTTACGCTGGCGACACCAGAACTGTGTGCAGTACTATTATCTCCCTCATGTTTTCCTGATGCATTCACACCCACTAACCATATCCTTTCTCAGACTGCATCTTGCTTGCTTGTGCCATGCCCCACTGGTCTCTTCCTGCACACCTCCTACTCCAAGGGACACATCTCATGATGACAGGGTTGCACTCAGGCTCTGCTGGGAGTTATCTGACTGACAATACAGCATTTGCATTTTTTCAAACCATATACTTTCCCCACCTGATTTCTGTTTCTCATGGTGGGAACAGTCTCTTGTGATTATACTGCAGAATATTTAGGGGAAGGTAGGATGATTCTTCAAGACACCACTCCTTAAAGCAAAGGGTTTCTTCAGTCATTTAAAACCCTGACCGAAGTACACACACATACCTGCCACCTTCTTAAAAGTCTGGATTTCAGAGTAAGCAAATCCCCAGCCCAGGGCGCCACCAGAGGGGGATGATGATTCATCCTTCACACAGGGGTCACAACCACAAAATTAGTGATTTTGGGCACAAAGTCATGCACTCACAATTGCCCAAACTCACATCTAACTCTTTGAATGATGTCAGTTAACAGATCTGGAGCCCACTGAAAGTAGTTTTTCCCTCATAAACAGACAACACTCTCACAAAAGTTTGGTAACAGAGATGAAAAGTTACCAAGTAGGAGAGGGAATTCTAGAGGTGAGTTGGTCAAAATCAGTTTGGCTATTAAACTCTTAAGACTTAATGAAATATTTGAGAGAGAATGATATTTGGTGAGAACTCAAGTCCCTGACTTGCCATGGCCAAAATGCCCTTAGTAAAAGCAGAGTGGTTGAAGCTCAGTAGCTTCAGCATTTTTAAGGGGAAAAAACCAACATACAACACTATGAAATAAACCTTTTAAACTTTTATATGCCTTGAAAACTAATAAAAGGTCTAATAAATTAAATACTTGTGAAACTATTTGCTAATCTTCCTGGAACCAGAAGGAGTTAAGCTGCTGCTTGGAGAAGGAGTCCAGGAAAGCCAGCCTGGCTCTGAAGCCTCCGGTGCAGCTGGAACATCAGCACCTGGCCCTGCCAAGAGTCCTCTCCACAAAACCACCCCAAAACACAAGAGCTTTGCTTTAATAAGAAAACAGAGGATCAACTGCCAGCTGAGAGATTCCCCAAGATGT